AAAAAAAAAAAAAAAAAAAACAGAAATTAATAGCGATACAATTTCGGTGCTGAAAGTATCAGACATTACAGATTTCTATTTTATTGATAACATTAAAGAGTTGCCAAAGTTGGCTGAAGTCAGCAAAAATTGTGGTTTTATTTTAGTCTATTCGTTTACTTATGGATTACAGTTGTTCTTAACTATTGTCTTATTTTTTTTTTTATTTTAATAAAAAATTTGTACATTACTGAAAGGTTAAAAATTTTGCTCAATTTTAATGTTTTCAAAAAAATACGTAGATAATAAATGATATCTATAAACTGCTATAAAAATGTTTGAATTTTTCAACAGAATTACTGGTTATCTTTCCAGTAAAATTTCAGGCTATTTTTTATCTAGAATTAATATTAAGTAAAAATTTTTAACATTTTTTTAGTTACTTTTACGACAACAGTTCAGCATTATTTATTTATTTTTTTTTTATAATTTTGATAAATCATTAATTCTTACATTAATTAACATTTTATTAGGTATAATTTTAACAAAAAAAAACTTTGGCTTCTTATCTTTCTGGCATTATGCTGCTATAAATTGATCTATTTATAAGAATTTGGCTCAAAAAAAAAAAAAACTTTATTAAAATTGAAACTTTAAATACTGAGTTATTTATTTTTTCTTTTAAATATGTATACCTCTTCTGTTCGGCAAAAGCTATATAAATGAAATATTATTAATATGATTTAAAGCAGTAACTGTCTAATGGTGATCAATTTTTTTGATCTATCAACAAAAACTGAAGACACATTTCCGGGTATTAATAGCCTCAAAGTTTTGACCAACTTAATCTTTTTCCAAAAAAAAAAAGTAGTTTTTTTCTGCCAATATACAGCTTTTATTCCCGAAAAAGTTAGTCTTACATATCATATAGTTTTTTTTGAAAGACTGTTATCTAACAAAATATAGGTGGACTGATAGCAAGTATAAAAAATGGCAACTTAATCACTGCAGCTTAATCAAGCTAAAAAAAAAAAGTCTTTCAAGTAGTATATGAATATTTACAGACATAATAAAATTGCAAAAACTTTGAAATTTTTTTGGAATTAAAATCAATTTTTATGCTTATTTTATGTTTTATAACACAATCAAACAGCTTCTAATTTACTTCTGTTACAGTTGACTTCAAATATTATACCAGTAACTTTTCTACAGCTTTTACTGCATTATTCTCACAGAACAGCTAAGCTTTCAGACTGCACTTTCAAACACATGTAAAAAGTGATGCTTGCGAATATGTTCTAAAAAAATTATCAAGGCATTTAGATCAACTGTTTCATAAACATTATATGCAACCATTTTTTTATTTATCGTCTTTATTTTAGTACGACACACTAATGGATCAGAATTGACAGAAGCAAAAGTTGGAGGAGTTCTGCCGTCCGACATGATAGCAGTGAAAAAAAATATTAGTAACGGTTCGTTGACAAACATCGTTGATAAGGAAATGGAAAACTATACGGTAACATAATCAACTTGACAACTAATATATTAGACATAAATCTGTGTTATCGTCTAAAAACCTTGTTTTAAATACATATTTCAGCTTAACATTGAAAGCACTTTCTAGATACAGTTTACGTTGTAAAACCGTTCAAAAATTTCAAAGTGTTTTCTTAAAGCAGCTTTTAAAAGTCACTGACTGTTGAAAAGAAACTGCTAAAAAACACCAATTCTTTTGCCATTGTTGAACAATCTTTATCATCAATCGAATTTTTACAACTTATTTGCTTAACGGATTTTTTTTTTTTTGGTAATCGCTGTTAAATTCTGCTGCAAAATACTAAAGAAAAACGATTGCTTTATCAA